TCTCCGGTTTACCAACATTCATGTGAGCAGTGTTCGCAGTCTGAGGGAACCAGAGACGTTGAAGGCATTCACCAGCAAACTCCAGATGCTGTTCTAGGTGGCAATTTGGGCCAATTTTTAATTTCCCTTATGGTTCCTATAGAGGTACCTATTCATAATTACTTTTCAGAGCCCCAAAACTACAACCCAGTGTTGCATCCCGACAAGGCAGCTCATTCGCGGCCACTTGGGATGACTAAGGTCCAGTGGAAAGCAGACACAACTGAAGCGTTCAGGCATATGATGGACACCACTCAACGGCTGCATGCGAAAACTGGCGCTCAGAACGGACAGAAACCTGTGCACACTGGCGATAGACCATTCCAGACAATGCGACTCAAGAGCCTACCGTTCTTTTAGGATCCTATTATGATTTCCTTCTACCAGCCCCTCGAAACGTATGTAGGTTTTATCGGGTCCAGGTATGCTCGAAAGTTTGGGTCTGAACCCTAAACCCTAATCACCCTAATCCCTAAACTTTAACCTTAATCCCTAAACCCTAATCCCCAAACCCCAAAGTCTTCGGTGGTCCTAGGAAACGGTCACTGCCGCCTCGCCTGCGGTTTCTGGCCTGGAAGGTGTGGAGACTGGGGCGTTTAGGGTTTAGGGTGGAAGGTGTGGTCGGTTCAGACTTTCAGTTCGGTTCTAGGGTTCCTTTGCAGGGTTCAAGTTCCTTTTACGGGTTCCTTTTACGGGTTGCTTTTAAGGGTCTCCTTTAGGGTATCATTGGGTTTTGGGGGGGTATTTGGGGGTGCCTCTGCCTATGTAGTATGTACTCAGGCCTTATGAAGTTCCTATACAGGAACCGCTTGCCCATCTCGGGCCCAAGTATACAATCTAGGTTCGGGGTTTCGGGGTTTAGGGTTCCGGGTTTTCGTTTTTGGTGGAGGGTGTAGGCTTCAGGGTTTTGAGTGTATAGTATAGAGTATAGAGTTCACGGTTCAGGATGTGAAACGGAGCCTGCATGAAACAGGCTTCTCAGGAGTGAACCGCTAGTACCCTCATTGGATCCTTGAGGGAGTGTGGTTCAAGAAAGAGGGTACCAGGGATCCTCCGGAAACCTCAGGGAGAACCAGGTAGAATCGGGGTACCCCCTTGAACCATTTCCCTTAAGGAGACCAGAATAAATGCCCTCAGGACGACGTGACTTCTAGCCAGTTCTTTCACGAAGCAGCGCCTTCAGTTGAACCAATCGTGCTGCCATGTGCAGGGGACGCCGTGAGAACCCTAAACCCGAAACCCTAAACCCGAAACCCTAAGCCTTGAGCCCTAAACCCTAAAACCTAGAAACCCTAATCCCTAAACCCTAAGACCTAGAAACCCTAAACCCTAAACCCAAAGCCCTAAACCCTAAGCCTGCTTTGGGATGCCTTGAGCATGGAATTTGCAGGGTAGGGTTTAGGGCGCCAAAGTAAAGTCACCATCTCAAAGTTCTGCCAGTGATCTGTAGGAAGCCTTAGGAAGCAACTCGCGAACCTTGTAACACCCCGGAGCCTAGCCTGAGGCTCCTAATCACACCCTAAACCCCAAACCCCTTCTTCAACCCTGAATTCTAAACCCTAAACCCTAAGCTCCCCAAACCCCCTAAACTCCTTAAATTCCCTAAACTCCCCAAACTCCCGAAACCCTAAACTTCAATAACAACAACCCAAACTCAAGAGCAAAAGCCCGCGGATCCGACCCGCCCCCCACAGGGAAGCCATTTGGGCAAGTTTTCACGTACCAGGGCATTGAGGTGGGCGGCTTGGAATGCAGGGTTCGGGGTTCCCCAGGGAGCCCAATACCCCTTAACTAAGGAATATGGCTTAAACTATATAGGGCTTCATATTGTGATTTAAGCTATATTCCTTAATTAAGGGGTATTGGGCTCTCTGGGTCATGGTTTAAGGATCTACCTTTTGGATCCTCCCGCGGGTTTGGGCATCGTACTTCGTACACCTGTGGCCTATGGTGACCTGCTCCTTGTGGCAGCGCCAGGCGTGGCAAGCTGCCAAGTCCTATCTTAAATCCGAGACCCTAAACCCTAAACCGAATGATTGCAAGACTCTGTGCACCCACATGGTCCCCGGAGGGAAAGGGTACTTTCGGCGAAGTGGTCTTGTTAAAGCTTAGGATAAAGTCCTATAGTCATAGGGTCTTGAATCCTGCCCCAAAACCCTAAACCGAATGTTTAGTGACCCTAACTGGGGTTATCAAGTCTCTAAGTTACCTATCTACTAAGTCCCCGGACCCTCCAAGACCCCTTAGAGAGCCCTTGTAGACGCCTTCAGAGGAACCCTTACAACCCCCAGCCCTAAACTCTGAAACCCCATAAACCTTATAAGCCCTTGAAACCCTAAACCCTAAACTCCTAAACCATAAACCCCCTACCTTATAGACCACTCACTAAGTCCCCCGACCCTCGTCCCCCGACCCTGCAAGCCCCTTAAAGAAGCCGGTTAGATCCCCTTACAGGTGCCCTTATAGAGCCCTTTAGAGGGACCCCTATAGATCCCCTTCAGTCTTCAAAAGCCCCTTACAGAAGCCGGTTAGATCCCTTTAAAGGTGCCCTTATAGAGCCCCTTTGCGAAGCCTTGAAAGGGACCTCCTGTTCCCAGAGAGCCCAATACCCCTTAATTAAGGAATATAGCTTAAATCATAATATGAAGCCCTATATAATTTAAGTCATATTCCTTGATTAAGGGTTATTGGGCTCTCAGGGTTGACCCTCCGAGCAGGTAATGAGAAGCCTCTGGAAAGATATCCTCGAGCTCGACAAGCAGGGCGATCCTCGCCTTCTTCTTCTAGGATGCCCAGTAGTACCCTTATTCCCTTTTTGTAGTCCTAGGTTCCTTATAAAGTTACCCAATACCAAAAAGAGAGGCCTTTTTATTCTTAGGTTACTGGGTATCCTAGTCTTGTTTCTGAGGCTTAGGGCTTAGGGTTCCAAAGGGGTTTAGGGTTTGAGGTTTAGGGTCTTAGGGTTCATGGTGTAGGTTTAGCTCAGGGTTTAGGGTTCAGGGTTTTGGGGTTTGGGTTGTTTTGAGGTTTAGGGTCTAGGGATCTCTTGGTATTTCAGGGTTACGCAAAGGTTCCTGCAATTAACAATGTTCTATAAAGTGGCCGCAAGCTACAACTGGTTTCAGGATTGTAATGTAAAATGCAGGCCAACGAGTCAACATGGAGTCTCGGAGTCTTGGATAATAAGTATATTGAATGTGAGGAGCAGCATTCCAAATATTGTAACTTTTCATTACGTAGAAAGACCTCGCGCCTCCAGGGGCTGTAGTTTTGTCGACCCGAGCCCCGCAAGGGTTTAGGGTTTAGGGTTAAGGGACGGTTTCGATGTTACAAGGGCTTCATCAACTGCAGATAAGAAGCACGTAGGGCTTGACGGCTTGTTGCGGTTCAGGTTGCCGGGCTAAGCCCTGGACCCTAACAGTCCTAACACGTCCCCTAAACCCTAAACCTGCCTAGACCCTCCATCTACCCTCTATTAGACCCTAAATGCCCCTTATTTGGGACCATATACCCTTATTCGAGGGTACAAGGAGTGTCCTGGTGAAGACACTCTGCATCTCTTCCAAGGTGCTCGCGGGCAAGCAGATCAGCATTGGAGACTTGCAGGCTGGACCGGCACCCTTGTTGGTTTCGGGTTAACCCCAGAAAGTTGGAGACCGGATGAAGGCCAAATAGTGCTGGGATTCCCTATACATTACTCTTAAGGATTGAGGCTATGGCGTTTCCAACTTTTGGGCTTCTACTGTAGGGTTAAGCGTTCAGGATTTTAGGGTACAGGTTCAGGGTTTAGGGTTTCGGGACCCTGGTGGGGCTCTGAGCTTTTTGTCTTTCGGAATTTTGAAGGATGTTCTTACCAGTTGTATTGTAGAGGTTCAGCGAGTCGGGGTTTAGACTCTAAACCTTAGAGTTTTAGGGTCTCAGGTTTTGGCTAGAACCTTCGTGACGGGGTCTGAATAGCTGCGTGTAGGGAGTCCTTCTATTTAGAAACTGTATTGGGAAATTTTGGGAAGCTTGAAACCCAGACGATTTCTTCAATCTCCGAACCTATACGCCAAATTGCTGTACGCTAGTAATTGGACTGGGTACTTGGCGAATGTACTACAATAAGCGCTACAAGTATATCATGAAACCTGCAGCGGGGATAATGTTGCAATTATTCAGACCTGCGTCAACCTGCATGATTTTCAATCCTATAAAGCCTTCAGATGTACGATAGGCACCCTATAACATCCTTATACCTTCTAACTCATAAAGCTCATTTCCAACCCTCCGGCGCTACAAAACCATGGCAGTTGCTGCAGTAGCCGTATATCAGAACCCCCAGCCCCCTAAACCCTAAACCCCTAAACCCTAAACCCTAAACCCCTAAACCCTAAAACCCTAAACCCTAAACCCCTAAACCCCTAAACCCTAAACCCCTAAACCCTAAACCCTAAAGGAACCAAATTCTCATGATTCAGGCCCCTATAGTCTACTTGGAGGGTCGGGGGACTTAGTAAGTAGTTATTTTTAGAGACTTATAAGTATCGTAACCCCTATTTGGGGTCCCTATTGGGGTACTTATAAGTCTACCTATAACCTACTTACTAAGTCCCCCGACCCTCCTTCTAGAACCCTTGTAGACCCCTTTAAAGGAGCCCTTTATAGAACCCCTATAGATCCCCTTAAGGGTACTAAGTCCCCCGACCCTCCAAGTAAAGCCTTAGCAGGTCCTCCGGGCGTCGGGGGTCCTCCAAGTGAGCGGACAGGTGGAGCTTTTACGGCTGAGGCTCCAGGGTTCGGGGGGTTTAGGCACACACTTGGTATGAGAGTCCCCAGTGGTTGAACACGTGAGACACCCACTGCACTTGCAGATGGAACACTGTTTAATTAAAAAATTCCACAAAGGAAAGCGAGGAGGAGAGAGAATCAGAACTCGTCCATAGTAGCTCGAAGGATATGAGTGGCCGCAGTGCGTGTCATTAGGTCATGCGTAGCTGCATCCTTCAGTTGTTGTCGAACTCTGTCAATTTCAGGAGGGATCTTAGTTTTGAAAACCTCACCGGCCCAATAGTCAGCTCTGCTATTGTGAAAAATTTGCCATAAGTCCTCAGCTCCAACTGCATCAGTAAGCTCTCTGTGCGCCTTAATCCATACAATACGGATGTCGTTGTCGCCATTATTTCGCTTGAAAAGCTTTGCCGCAGTACGGAAGAGGTCACGATCAGAGTGTGTAGCCCATCGCTCTTCTTGGTAACCATGATACAGTATGTGATTGAGGCCTTTGACAACAGCACTGTTGTCACAATAGATATGCACATGTCGGTGGGTAGATAGAGCGACCAGAACTGCATAAAGTTCAGCACGGAAGACTGTCTGGTACCTCCCAGGGAGTATTCCTGAAAAGAGGCAACTGTTTGCATGTTCCATGTGTGAAGTTTTGGTGACCGACCAAGAACATAACCGAGTAGTCGGGTCACTAGAATCAAGCGCGGATCCATCGGTGAAAATGTGTGCAATATTTTGGTTGTCCTCAAAGAATAAGTCCGGCGGTTGCACATCGTCAAGAAGCTGCCAATATGAGTCCAAGTGCTCCAGTTTTGGAAAGAGTCCCCCTAAAAGAAGGGAGGTAGGTACCAACTTAACAGCATCCCATTGAGCACCTTGGCGAACATGTTCCGTTCCTGGGCAATGGTAAACACGGTGCTTCATGGTGTCCAGTTGACCGCAAAAGATACAGGTATCCTCTTGATCATCCTTGAAGTGCTTGAGTCTTTTGTTCGGGAAGAGACCTCCCAGACGAACTTTGCGCATAAACCCTTGTATCATTGGATCTTTGTGCTCCGGAAAGATACTTCGTTTTATAGAAAGAGAGGCCAAGTCATCAAGATTCTGCTTCTCATGCAGATGACGAAGAAGGTCAATTTCCCATGACTCCAATATCGAATCTTTGAACTGTTTAGTGGTAATGTCCCAAATATTGAAGACCTTGTTCGATGGTGTGGTGCATCTCCCATTCTCATCAAGTGCCCATCCCAGCTCATGAAGTTGATTCTGGAAAATGGAAACACATCCTCTTGTCTTTCGCTTGAAGAAACACCCTCGCTGGAAAGCTTTCTTCCACACATCTTTGACCAAAGGCAAGTTTCTAGTGGCCGATCGTAGAAATGTACCAAAGCGCCTCTCCGCAATGTAGAGAACAGGTTCATATCTGTCGCCAGAAAACAAGGGGGCCAAATAGTGGAGGTGGTATTGCAACTTGCCACCTACTGTGTGATTACACTTAGCCCGCACTTCTCGAATGAAATCCTTGCCCGCATAGGTGTTCTCAATGCCAAAGAAAATGTGTGGCAAGATACATCTGCAGACAATCTGTGTCTTCCTGGGTGCCGTCCACGGCATATACTGCAATCTATCCAAGAGTCCTTTGGCTGAGGTCCACCGTTTTGTTCGAATGTCAATCGATGCTACCTTGGCAGTCTGGAAGTTGGTTCCCAATCCTCTTAAATTCTTCGAAGTTCCAACAAGAAGGTGGTGGTGTGACAGCGAACCTGTCACTTGGTTGAGCAGCTTCGTAGAAGTAGCAAAGAGGGAAGACTTGGAAATTGACAGAATGAGGCCCAGTTTGTCTGCCAAGTTCTTGACCTGAATAACAGAACTGGTAAGTGAAGCCAGATCATCTGTGATCAGCATCCAGTCGTCCACATATGAATACAGAGGCACTTGTTGATTTGTCTCCACTAGGTTGGTAAAACACCAGGTCAGGATGATCATCTGTACCACCGCTATAGGGCATCCTTCTGGCACTCCTGTTGTTGACTTGAGGCCCCGTCCCCATGATTGACCACAAGTAAAATGCCTTTCCAGCTTGTTCAAGAAACCTCCATAAGTGTTCCATACCTCTGAAAAACCTAGTCTGCGATTGGCCTCTTGCAAGAAATGTCTTGGCAATGTGTTGTATGCTTTGGAAAAATCCAGAGAGATACCTGCAAGGGGTTCGTCCATAATGAGTGCCTTTTCCAATTGCATCTGTACTTCATATACCATATCCATAGATGACCTGCCTGGGACCGATCCAAAGAGGGTAAGTGGCAAGAATGGTTTGACATGCTGAAGCATCTTGTGTGTAACCAATTTTGCCCACACTCTATACAGTGTTGCCAAAATAGTAATGGGCCTTGTTGATGCAATGTCACCCACTTCAGACGTCTTGTAGAGAAGTGCCATCCGGGCTCTGCAAATGCTGTCTGGCCAAAGTCCCTGAGAAAAGAGATTGAGCAATTGAAGCAATCTTGGTCGAAGCACCTCCGGCAAATTTTTGATTTCATAGTTGGAAAAGCCATCCATACCACGTGGATAACACCCACTGTAAATCCTTGGCATCAAAACATAGGTCCATGTTTGGTAAAGTAGGTAAGGAGTGCACAGCATTCTTCACCATCTCATCATCGTTGTTGACTTCACCACCCAGGTTCCAGTATTTGTACCAATAGTCTTCTGCCGCTTTGAGAATCTCAGCCGGGTGTGCTGATGGCCGATGTTGTGAAACAGTTCCAGTGACCATACAACCTTTGATTGTCTGGAGAAAAATCTTCCCATTCTTGATATTGGAAACCATCGCAGTTGCACCATCTTGCTTCCATTGGGATCCAATCTTTATCAAGTGGAGCTCGTCATCTTCCAAAGTACAGATCTGCATTCCCTTTTGGCGCGCTCTCCGGGCCACGACTCTGTGGTCAGATACCACATTGAGGGAATCTACCCTCGGCATCCCAGGTGGACGAATGGCCTTGTAGTGCTTAGTACCACCCTTCTTCCAATCTTGCGTAAAAACACTTCGAAACTTGGCATCACGCTTACTTCTGTGTAAGGTCCTCCAATGCTTCTCATCTTGAACTAAATGATCTCTGAGAACCTGTGCCATCCCCACATTGGGAGGTCCCTGTGGGAACCATTCAGCATGATTCTGAAACCACCACTCACGGAAGGGCCCGTTGAAGCCCGGTGCATTACAGATGGCTAACCATGTGTGAGACGAGGCTTCATGGATCTTTCTCCTCCTCTCCTCTGTCAGTTCCAATCTGTCCATGGACTTCATCTGCTGGATGTATGCCTCCAGCCTCCTGATTTGCCTGATCCGCTGCCTGAGTTGGACAGTGTCATCGTCGCCTGTAGGTTGGAATTCTCCAAGTCGTGCAGCTTGGCTAGGGGCCTGAATAATATCCTGTTCAGTGAAAGAAAGCTTGCCTCTGCCACAGAAAAACTTTGGAGCCCGAGCTCCCTTTTTTCTATCCAAAGCCCATGAAACTCCTTCTTCATAAGCCTCGCAGAAAAGATTCCATGCTTTTTCGATGTCCTTAGTTGCCAAGGCCTCATCCAAGGCTGCAAGCTTTCGCGGCGGAACAAAAGCACTGTGGAAATCTGCATCTGTGAGTGGAAGGTCCGAGGCTTCCATGGGCATCCGGTAAGTTGTGCATGTCTTCGGAATGCAGCTCCAGTCAAAAACTGCATTAACCGTCTTGTGGTCCATCTCAGCCTGCATGGAGACAAAGAAACTGCGGAAAGCAGATCTGGCAATATCATTCATCAGGACATAGTCCAGTCTTGAAACATCCTTGTAGGTCTTCTGCGGAGGTTCTCCATCCATTTGTGCTTGTAGAACTGCTGCATCCGACCAACCAGCATCCACCATGAGCTGCCAGGCATTGAGTTTCTCAAGGTCACAGTTCAAGTCACCCACAATCAGTGCAGGGCATCTGACCTGGTTGGCCCTCCATGATGCCTCTCTCAACAAGGCTTCATTGTGTTCCTCTGAATCTGGTAGTCCTTGATGTAGGCCATAGATGGCGATGACCAGAACTGGCCCTCGTTGGGTCAGGACAAAGGTGTCGCTGACCCGAGAAGAGTCCCAGGCTTCCTGGGACCATGGTGCAAAAGCTGGCCTCGTCGGTAGAGCCGAGATAATAGCAGCTCCTTTTGCTTCCCCCTTGGTAGCACACTGACGTCCATCTTGGAAAGCCCTCTGCTTCACAGGTTTGCTGAAGGAAGTGTGTTTGCGAGCTCCGTGTGCAAGCTTGGTCGCCTTCTGCTGGACATAGACTGTTGCTGCAGTCTCAGTGTAAACCAACACATGGGCATGTTCCGAAACAAGTCTCCCATCATCACAGAAAGAGTTCAACGACTGGGTGTTGGTGCCCGATATAGTGAAGAAGTCAGGTCCCGGGTTGGCTGCTTCCCCAACTCTCCATCCCATATACGTCGGAAGTGGCAACAAAATGTCGCCTTGAAAGAAAGTGTTCCATGAGTGGTAAAACGAATTGAAGTAAATTGCAGGGTAGTCTCTATCTCCGGCTCGGCTGCCTTCATCCACGAGGCCTTCCCTGTTTGCATAAGGATCCAGTCGGTAGTTGTTGCTGGAAACGAAGTTGCACCCATCCAGATGTCTATCCAGATGAATTAATACACACCTGCTCGCTGCAGGCTCTCACTGCTTGGGTTTCTTTGGATCATCTCCCGTCTTGGGCGACGGAGTCCTCTTCCTGACTGCTCCCAACTGAGTCCGCATCTCACCCATAAGCTCCTCCTTGAGTGAAATCTGGGAGTTCGTCAGCTTGGTGGCGAAGTCGGCCTTCTGACTCTCAAGGGTCATGGTAAGGTTCTGCATGTGCTGTCCCAACTCCTTGGAGAGCGAGGCTGTGAGGCCTTGCACACTGTGGGAGAGGTTCTGGTTAATGAGGTCCTGCTCGTCTTGCTTCTGTGTCACAACCTTCTGAAAATCTTGAAAGTCTTGCCGCAGCATCTTGTGGGATTCCACTTGTTGCTTGTGGAAGTCGTCCATCTTTTTCTGCAGCCTTTCCTCCAGATCTGTCTGCTCCGCATCTGTGATCATACTGGAGAAGGAGGCATGTCCTGTATTTCCCATGAGGGTCGTTGGGGTAGCAGAAGCCCCCGCCACCCACCATGGCAAAGCTCCTTTGGAGTGCTTTCCTTTTCCTCCAGATTTGCCCTTGTATCCCCCTTTGGGCTTCTGCTCCGAGATGAGAACAGTGCCATGCGAAGTGAGATGCACGAGCTTGTCGGGAGCTGTTTCCGCCCCCACTGTCCAAGTTCTTGGACGAAGTTGCCTGAGGACCAAAGCCTTCCAGCCAATCTTGTTGACAAACTTCTGCACCTCCGTTTTGGTGCAGCTGATCGGCAGGTTTTGTATGTCGTAGTAGAGCTGCACCTTGATGTTGTAGGGGGTGTCTTCAATCGGAGTCCAGCTGGGCTGCCACTTTTGTCGAAGTTGCAGAAATTCTGTAGATTTGACTCTCAGCCCATAACCAGTCTTGTTCTTGACCAGTCCAAAAGCCGAGGCTTCCGAACTTGCCTTGACCATCAACTCTTGCAATGGCTTGTCTGGTGTCCAAATAACCTTGAAACCTGGGTCCAGGGTTCCATCTTCCTTCCTTGGCGAAAAATAGATGCCAGCTCGGATCTGCTTCAAGATAGTTTCCAAACATTCTCTCTTGATCCTGAGCATGAGGTAGCAGGTTTCTGCCTGACTGGCATCCATCACTTGCTTGGATCGTTGGAAGAATTTTCGGCCCCATGACCCAATAAAGCCACGCTCCATTGCCTGGATCTTGGTCTTGAGAAAGCGCGTGGTGCCCTCCACCATCTCATCCCATTCCTCCATCTCAGCTTTGACCATTTCACAAGAAACCACTGTGGCATCAACCTCCTCGACCGTGACAATGTTAGACTCCTCAGCCAACCCGATCGTCTTTTTGCCAAAGTTGATCAGCTGTGCTCTCACCAGGATTCGTGTATTGTCCTTGTTACGGCAAGGGGTCTCCACATTCTTGACCTTGAAGTTGGTTGAGCTCTGAAACGTAGAACCAACGACCAATGCAGCCAGCTCATTGTCAGACATCGTCTCTTGGGATTGCATCAGGATCTCCGCCTCCTTTTCGCCAATGAGTGCTAGACCACAAGCTCCGTGGGCAAGTTTCTCCAGTGTCACTGGGTGGCTCCCATCTTCCATCTGGAAAAAACTGTTCTCCAGCTTCCATGCTCCCCTTTCTTTCAGGGCTTGTGTCCAGGGATCTGCAATCTGGAGCGGGTCAACAGCCTCTTCTTGCACCGATTTTGCCCGGGGTTTGTGCTTTGCCTCTGCCTCACGAACAAGTCTGGTGGTACATCGTGCTTTCAGTTGAGACCACGGATCGAAAGACGTGTAGACTTCCTTGATGCCTTTCTCCCCAATTTGGGATCGCACCTCTTGAATGCGGGCTTCCAATTGGTCCTCCGGCACACCCTTCGATTGAAGCATATGCTTGAGTTTCTGGACTGCATTGCCTGTGCCTCCACGGAGTCTTCCTCTTACAATGACTGTAGATCCAACCGGGATTTGGTCGCAAGTAGTCCTTGGTCCAAGTACTTTGACTCCCCGGGTGAAGTAGAAGGAGTGAGGGGGCAGTCCCCATTCATCTTGGACAACCTCCTCCAGAGTTCTCTTGTCCCTGTGGTTGAAGCAGCAGAGTTGGTGCTGGAAGAGGATGTAGAAGGCCGTGTCTGCCTTCGGGTTCTTGTGGATGTCTTCATAGTTGATGGTCGCCGGGAGGGCATTGTCGCGGATGCTCTGCAAGTCCCTGTCTTCTCTTGTGCATTGTCTCTTTGCAGAGAAGTCCACATCCTGAAATGGCATGCCTCTGAGCCGGTCAGAGGCTTCAACCTCGTAAGGCTGTGTCGGGTCTACCAGGGTCGTCTCAGCACTGCCCAGCATTTCATGGGGTGCCACAGGATTGGAATCCGGTGGAGTAGCAGGGGATCCATTGTCATCCGGTGCATCAGAATCTCCATCATGTGGGTCCATAGTAGGGCCACCCGGGATACTTTCGCCACCTTCATCTGTCGGTGAGGCCGGTGGTTCAACTGGGGACTCGTCAAAGACTTTGAAAACGTCCAGTTCCCTCCATGCTTGTGCTCCAGCGCTGTGGTTCCATCTCAATCGGATATGGTCACCTGATTGGATACAGACTGGCCATGCGAGAACTTCTTTGTCATTCACTGTGATGAGGTCCGGAGGTGTGGACTGGTGGTCAGCATAAGTGTACTTCAGGTCCGATATGTCAATCTCGCTGTTCAACCACCATGCTGCCGGTGCCGCCGGGTCCACTAACACCAGGACCTTGCCATAGGATTCTTGTGGCACTTCACCTGCCAGAATCCAGTGCAGTGTCTGCTCCGTTGGCTCAGTAAGCTTGGCAATGGCCACATTTTCTTGTGGCACCTGGATGAACTCAGCCACTTTCCGATTGACTTCTCCAACCGTGTCTTCATCATCCAATACGATACTGTGGTACCCATGCTCTGCTTGGAACAATCTCCAGGTCTTCGAATTGTCTGGTTGGTCCCCCATCTCCTCATACAGGGTTCTGCTGGTTTCAGGCAAGAAGGGTGTCACTCGTCCTTGTTGGCGTCCATAGGTAAGGGAATCGATCTCGATCTGCAAGCCCACCAGCCTCGTGGTCAGATAGCCCTGAGGCCCCATCTGCGCGAGGTCGCCCCTTTTGATGAGCTTTGACCAGCCATTCTTGTCGAAGGGGATGAGGTCGTCAAAGGGCTCCCATTGTTCACCCCACTCCGTCAGGGCGGCATCCAGGTATCTCATCATCTCATCTCTTCCCATCTTTTGCTCGTGTCGGTGGCCAAGTGCCGAGACAAGCACTGTGAGTGCTTGGCAGGGAAGCAAGCACTGGTTGAGCAGTGCCAGAGCATCTTTCTCATTGTCAGGGAGGATGTAGTCCATATGGAAACCATAGGCCCTCAGGATCTCCCACTTTGATAGGGCCCTGATGTCTGCTCCATGGTACAAGAGTGGAATGAAGAGTCCTCGCTTCTTCAAGATAACCCACGGCAGATCAAGGTTGAGGCGGTAGTTCCCCAAAAGGATGGGAAGTGGCTTTCCTGGGTTGATCAACCGGATGTGGATCGGTGATCCCACATTCTGCTGGAAGTATCGGGGAAGCAGTTCCCGGGTCGTGACCTTGGTAAGCTCGGTCCCAATGAGTCGGACTGTCGAAAGCACCATTGCAGGCATATGCTTCCATAGCACCGGTTCACACTGCATCGGGGGCCGGTCACTCAAATGCAGCATTCTGAAGGGCATTCCCACTGAGGGATTGTCTGCACTGTTCCATGCAATCATGAAAAATCTCGGTTGCTCCACCGGCTGCAGTCCTGTTGGGTTGAGCACTCCATGCCAAATGACTCTGTAGCCCGCCCATTTCAAAAGGGATCGGATGGTCTCAAAGTCCTCATGCTGAGCAAATCCCGGAAGGGCTTCCACAAGCAATGCTCTCCTCTGCAGGAACCTCATAACTAGGACCATCTGGAGCCAGGCCACTGTCGCCTTGGAGTCCTGGAGCCCCGGAGCATTTCCCGTGGCAGCGTATGCTCCACAAGGCGGCGAGGCGCAGATAAACTCAGTGTTGGTCTTGTGCAAGGCCGTCGTCCACCTGAGGTCAATCACTTCACCCCAGAAAGTGTTGAACACCTCTTGTTCGCCCTCTCTGCTGAACAATATGGTGTCCTTCTGGTTGAGCAAAGTAGAGCTGATCGCCATGCGTTCGTGGTCGATGCGGAGGACACATTCAGCTGGGAGGAGTCTGCATGCCTCAGCCCAGGCCCCCATGCCTCCACAAAACATCTCCACCACCGAAGCTACAGAGTCTTCTCGGCTGGGTAACAGGATACTCGCTGTGTTCTCCGTAGTCGCTGGAAATCCCAAACAGCGTTCTGACTGCATATCCAAGAAGATCTTCGCTCCGATCAGCATGTATACTTCTCCTTTCTCAACTTTCTGTCTGAAGCTGGTGCAGTCGAAACGAAGCTCCTCGCCCGTCAGTTGAGGGAGTCTGCTATCCGCGACATCATCAAGACAATTGCTCAGCCTCAGGTCGACCACCTGAGCAATGCCATGGTGTGTTGTGTCCATCTGCTTCACTTTCACCGAGCAGTTGAACACCCATTCTGGTCGGATGTCCTCGACCTCTTGGGTGATGATCCATCCCATGTTCCGCAGTCCTTCCATGCGGTCCATAAGGGGAGCGACAGCTCCTTTTCCCAAAAGTGAATCCATGGCTCAGTGTCGGCACCCGAGGGATCCAGCCACACCGCTGGGAGGTCCTGAGCCTTCGTGGCTCGGGGGGTTTAGGGTTTAGGGCTTAAGTTTAGGGTTCAGGGGTTTAGGGGTTTAGGGGTTTAGGGTTTAGGGTTTAGGGTTTAGGGTTTAGGGTTCAGGGGTTTAGGGGTTTAGTGGTTTAGGGTTTAGGATTTAGGGGTTTAGGGTTTAGGGTTTAGGGGTTTAGGGGCTTTAGTGGTTTAGGGCTTCGGGGGTTTAGGGTTTAGGGCTTCAGTTTAGGGTTCAGGGGTTTAGGGGTTTAGTGGTTTAGGGTTTAGGGTTTAGGGTTTAGGGTTTAGGGTTCAGGGGTTTAGGGGTTTAGGGGTTTAGGGTTTAGGGGTTTAGGGTTTAGGGTTTAGGGTTTAGGGGTTTAGGGGTTTAGGGGCTTTAGTGGTTTAGGGCTTCGGGGGTTTAGGGTTTAGGGCTTCAGTTTAGGGTTCAGGGGTTTAGGGGTTTAGTGGTTTAGGGTTTGGGGGTTTAGGGTTTACGGCTTAGGGTTTAGGGTTCAGGGGTTTAGGGGTTTAGGGGATTAGTGGTTTAGGGGTTTAGGGGTTTACGGGTTGAGGGTTAAGGGTTTAGGACGCTACTGTTCAGGGTTTAGGGGTTTAGGGTTTTCGGGCTAGGGTTTAGGGTTTACAGGTTTAGAGGGTTTACGGCGGTTTATCCAAGGGTAAAAGGAGGGACCCTTAATAAGGACCCCTAGGTATATACCTTTAATATAGCTGTGATATACCCATTATATAGCCCATTATAGGGTAGAGGTCCCCATTCAGGTCCCCCCTTGTCCCCTTTGAGGTTTAGGGTTTACTGCTGAGGCTCCCTCTTTGAGTCAGCTCCCTCCTGTGTCAGCGGTTTAGGTCTCTTGAGAGCATGGGATTCAGAGCTTTCCGGCTGGGGATTTGGGTTTTACTGATTTCAGGGCTTTGGGGTTTTAGGGTTTAGGGTTTGCGGCTTTCACGACTTAGAGAATTTTAGGGCGTTTGGGTTTTAAATGTTTCTGACAAGGGTTCACCCTTAAATAGCCCCGAGCTCGGTGTTGTCGGAGATCCTTTATGGGTTCCTGTAAGGGTTCCCTTATGGGTTCTTTTTAGGGGTCCACAAGGCTCAGAATGGTTAAAAGAAGTGGGGTGAGAGTTCGGGGCTGGGGGTTCAGGGCGTTCGGGCTTGAGCGCTGAAGGTTTAGAGTTCAAACCGTTCTGGTCCGTTTTCGGCCCCTATTATAATACGGCACCTATTATTTAGGGTGGCCAAAAAGGGACCCCTATTTTGACCACTACCCATATATATATATATATATATATATATATTATATACATATATATATATATTATATATATTATATATATTATATATATATTATATATATATATATATATATATATATATATATATATGGTCACGCGCTCCGCGACCCCCACCCCTCTCCCCGCTCAAACGTCAATGGTCTGGATATAGGTGGGGCTCCCCTCCCCTGTGGTGTGGGGTCTGGGGTCTCTCTTCCACACACACACATATATATATATGGTCACCCCCCCCCCCATGACAGACCATCCCCTTTAAAACATCGCTCCCACCGGCGTGTTCGTGCTTTTTCCGGAGTATCGAGTTTGAGCCCTCCGAACGTATCCCTGGAACCACCAAAAGACTGAGACCAGAAAGCAGCACGATAAGGCGCGCGGGTGTCCTACCAAGAAAGGAATTACAGAGCACACGTGTATGGATGAGGGTTGTGCTGACACACTACATAGTAAGCACTACACAGTAATCTTACTTGAGTCATATATAGAGCAGATTCCAGCATTTCCAAAATTTCCAAAATTTCCAAAATTCTCTCCCCTAACTTTCCAGATTTCCAAAATTTCCAAAATTTCCAAAATTTCCAAAATTTCTAAAATTTCCAAAATTTCCAAAATTTACCGACCTAGTCGACAGGATTTTTCCAAAACATAAGGGCGTACTTTTTGGAAATTTTGGAAATTTTGGAAATTTTGGAAAGTTTGGAAAGTTTGGAAATTTTGGAAATTTTGGAAATTTTGGAAATTTTGGAAATTTTGGAAATTTTGGAAATTTTGGAAATTTTGGAAAGTTTGGAAATTTTGGAAATTTTGGAAATTTTGGAAATTTTAGAAATTTTGGAAATTTTGGAAATTTTGGAAATTTTGGAAATTTTGGAAATTTTAGAAATTTTGGAAATTTTGGAAATTTTGGAAATTTTGGAAATCCGGAAAGTTAGGGGAAAGAATTTTGGGAATTTTGGAAATGCTGGAATCTGCTCTATATATGACTCAAGTAAGATTACTGTGTAGTGCTTTTAACACTAACGTTGACATGTATATTAATGCTTTCATTTCGAATATGCACATTACTAATTCTATTATTAACATTAATACTCCTACGCCTACCAATAGTCATATTCATATTGATATTAATGCCAATACTAACAGACACCTGCGTATATTAATGTCCGCAGATATACATACCACTATCTGAAAAGCAAATATATCAATGCATTCGTGTACTAACGTAGTATATTCGTATTTAATTTGTCATATACCCAGTTTCCAACGTGACAATATACTACTTGTTAACGTCTGATTATACTGTATTGATATGCTAACTTGCTAAGACACGAATACTGTAATATGCAAGTACACTGACACATGGAAATGGTATACTAACATATGGATATACCAAAAAAGTTGTTAGATAATATACGAACATGATAAATGAAGTAGCATACCAGGATACTCATACACTAATATGTTAATATTCGAAGATAATAGCACACCAATATACTAATGTACTCATGCACGAACGTACGCATGCATTAATATACTAAGAGCATACAAACATGCAGGTATACAAACATATTACTGTTCGAATACATTATAATGTGTTGGTATACTAAGCTGTTTATATAATCTATCAGTATACTAATATATCAAAACTAGTTATAGTATTGATACGCATACTAGCACGTCCGCGAATATTACACTGATGTTAAATTCATCATTAAGACTGATTAAAACTGACATCGACATTGGCACTGGCATTAACACTAATTATCACTAAATATGCTAGTGTACTAATATACGAATACTGTAAAAGGCAAGTACACTGACATGTTCACATGCCATTATGCCAACATATTGATATACCTATAAGCTATTAGGGAAAATACGAATATAGTAAATGTAGTAATAGACCACTATAATAATATACTAATATACTACTACGTTAACATACGAATATCATGATACACCAATATACTAATGTACTCATGCACCAACGTACTAATATATTCGCGCAATCTTCAACTCTGCAAATATACTATTGTTCGAATACATTACTGTATTATTATATTAAGCTCAAAATGTACGAATCAATCAGTATATTCACATATCAAAACTATTTCTAATACTGATACTAATACCAGCACTTCTGTGAATAATAAACAGATACTAAAACCAGCATTCAGACTGATACTAATACTAACACGAGTACTATTACTGACATTGACATCGACACTGGCACTAACACCAGCACGAACATAATCACGAGTTCATATTTACTATTATTGATATGTATACTTTTATTCAATACTAATACTAATACTGATGCTAATACTAATACTAAATACCAATACCAATACTAGTACTAAAGCAATACCCATCCTAATATCAATACTACCACAAAACTATTACTCATATGAACACTGATACCAGGATTAGGACTACTACAAACAATGACAGCAGTACTAAGAATAGAACCAAGAACAATACATATTAATCCTAACACTAATACTAGTACTAATACTAGTTACTAATTCTAATACTCATACTCATACCAATACTAATGTCACCACTACTGCTGCTACTACTACTGCTACTACTACGACTACTACTACTACTACTACTACTACTACTACTAGTACACATACTTAATACTAAAACTAATACTGATACTCATACTAGTCACTAATACTAATACTAATACTCATTCTAATACTAATACCAATACCAATACTAATGCTACCACTACTACTGCTGTGCGACAACTATTGCTAGTACGACGACTACTACTATTAACATCAATACACATACTTAATGCTAATACTAAGAGTAATACTAATTCGAATACTATTACTCATACTAAACATCCTAATATCAATACTACCACAAAACTAATACTAATGCTAACACTGATACAAGAATTAAGATCTACAAACAGTAATAGTGGTACGAAGAGCAGAATTGAGATTAAGATTGGGACTAGGAGCGCTGCATGCGTGTGAAGAAATTTCCAAAAATTGCAAACCATCTAAAAGAACATTTTGGAATTGAGTTTGGGAGAAGTGTCTGTCGCCTATCCGTTGACAGATCCTGCCTGGGGACGCACGCCACCCTTCCCCTTCCCCACGACGGTCTGTCATGGGGGGGGGGGGTGAGCATATATATATATATATATATATGTATGTACATATATATATATATATATGCATACATATAGTACGGGATCCGGCTATTTAGGGTCCGGTTTTTGAGTGCCGTGTTCTTGACATTAAGGGGTGTTAGTGTAGAGTTCGGGTTTTGGGGGTTTCTGGTTCAGGCTCAAGTTTAGGATTTGGGGCTTTGGTTTTTTGTTTAGTTATAGCCGAAGAGCTGGAAGAATCATGAACTTGGGATGGCAATGTTAAAGGTTCAACGTTCAGGCTTAGGGTGCAAGGAGAGCTTTTTATGAAGAATTATTCAGAGCAACACAAGGCCATGGAGGTTGGGGTTTTCGGGCTATGTGGGTACGACCCTAAACCCTAAACCCTAAGCCCTAAAACCTAAAACAGCCCTACACCCTAAACCCTAAACGGTCCCCAAAGCCTCCAAAACCACTTAATTAAGGAATATATACCTTAA